TACCTTTGATAAAGGAATAAATTTATTCGTCACAAGCATCCTGTGAACTTCTAGTAATCTTTCGTCATCCATCTTGGAACCGGACAACTCTTCGTCGGTGGATTTTGTTTCCCCTTCACATTCAAAGTAAAATGGTAAAATGGTCTTGCGTTCACTCTCTGGAATTGCGCAATGGCTATTATGTTTATCAGTGTAGACTTGATGAACCATCGCGAGATTTTCCAATGTCGTGTGAATTTGTTTTTGATTAGCAGTAATGGCCCAAATTTTCACAAGTTGCATGTCCGAATAGTTGCGGATAGAGAAACCATAGTCAACTTGCCAGAGAATCGTCAAGCCATAGTCAGGAAGCTTCACTTCGTAGACAGGAATATTGGGAGATGACACCTTATTCCGTAGTCCATGTTTTACCCACTCCCCGGATGATATTTGACCGAGCTTTTTCATGACTACTTTGATTGTAAGAGGTGACTCCAACTTCCTCATGTCTTTAATCGCGTCTTCACTGAGAAGAATGTCCCACGGTCCAAGTCTGTCATTCTCATCAAATTCGAATGGAAGGCGAAAGATGTGCGGCGGTGCTGAAAACTCTTTTTCTTCAAGCGAAGAGTACTTTTCAGGATGAAAATTTATAAGGGCTCTTCGGTGACAACTCGCGCACGGAAAAAACCCAACAAGACCCTAAATAATTAAATAATTATCAATTTTGTGCACATTACGGTTATATTTTTTTAATTTACAACACTTATCAATGTATTATAAAAACTTTTACATTTCCAGAAAAAGAAATCTGACCTACTTTGAATGAATCTATTTTCCTTTGTTTAAGAATCAACGAAAAGTTGCGCAATTCAGAAGGTTTCTGAGGCGCTTTTATTCCCAGTAATTCAAGGCTCCTTTTATTTTGACCAGATAAGATAGCCGAATTGAAATCGATTGCGGAATTACTGACAGATCGTTTTCTGCTCTGATACTGATTATCATCCTTCCTATTATTGTCAAGCACCACCATTTCGCGCAAATCTGGTGGTAGAGAACTCCTTCTAGATCTTAGGTCAATCTCCGCACTTTGAAGCCTCTTCAGAGTTTCCAGT